CAGCCACTTGTCAGCCACTTGCTTGGGCAGCCACTTGCAGCCACTTGCGTGGGCAGCCACTTGCAGCCACTTGCAGCCACTTGCGGCCACTTGCAAGTGGCTGCAAGTGGCTGCAAGTGGCTGCAAAACAGAAAATCAAAATGCGCACCTCCTGCGAGCTCAATGAAAGCTTGGCCATCGGCCCCAAGGAAGGAAATGTCTGGCTGGATGGTAAGGTCTTCCCATTTGCATTGAACAGGCCTCGGTGGGCTTGAAGGATGATTCTTGGAGGTCGCGCTCGGCCCGGGATGACTTGGGCAGCCAGGCTGCCGGTGCTGCTGCAGCTTTGCCTTGCTCTTGGGCTGATCAACATCCATGTTGCCATTGCCCGTACCCGCGACAAAGTAGACAAGAGGAAACCTGTTGGTACTTTGACACGCAGCAAATACCAGCTCCTGATGTTGGTCGCTGAGCAACATGCCCGTGCAAGAAGCCAATGATGTACTTCAAAAAGCGGTGGCGCTTGCAGTCCGGGCCGAAAGAAAATGTTGTAGAGGAAGTAGTACCTGCACATGTCAGGAGGCATGAGTTGAGCAACAAAGTCCACAGCAATCCTTGTATGATCGAGGTCCATCTCTTGGAGTAGAAGCTGGATCAATGACAATTCACATCAAACAAGCTTGAGATTTCATCTTCCCACAACATACCACACGCAACCCTTGCCTCAAGGTAATCGAGCGAGACCTCGGACACTTGAACACTTCTGGTTGCAGCTTTCCTGTCAAACCCCTTGCCAGTTGCAAACGGAAAGGAGCGGAGTTCAACACATTCAGCGTGGATCTTGAGGATCTCGCCCGCGATGTAGGTCATGCCGTCCAAAGTGAATGGAATTTCAGCTCGACCAACATCAACTAGGAGGGAGCGGAACATGTCATGGCCCCAGCCCGACAGAACCTGGTTCGCCATGGCCAACACCGACTTCATGTCCATGACACCAATCCTTCGAATGATCAGGTGTGACACTGACCACGTGCTCAAGCGAAAGATTGTTGGCAATCCCTTATGGACGCCAACCTGGGTTCGCACCCACAACTGGCCTGTGGGGTTCTTTTCATGTGTATAGACACACATGTCTAGCACAAGTCTCACTGTGATCGTCCGACGCGAGAGGTACATATATAATATATATATATATACAATATAATACATATATTGCACTCACGGGCACTCCTTTTGCATCCAGCCACCTCAAGGCTTTATGAAATGGCGGGTTCGCCACTTCTCCTTTCAAAGCTCTTCCTCTCGAAGAGTCTTTATTGAGATCCATCTGGATCTGACAGCTTATATAGGCGTTCTTTACTTTCATGGTCATATGGACCACCAATTTAAAGATGCAGGGCTAATTTGAGCCAATGGCCGCATTCGTGCCTTCGTGCAAAACATCTCACTCAAAGAGAAGATGACATATATATATATATATATTGGTGGTTTGTGGACACCCCGTTCTTCACCTCTAAGAGGCTATTTATAGACACCTCGAACGGAAGGTCCTGGTATGTGTTCAGCTATGATGCAGCAAACTTGTCCTGCCATGTCCTACCACTGAAGCGAGATGTCGCAACTACACCCAGAGGATTCGGCGCGGACGCACGCGCGCCTGCGAAGCAGCCCAAAGTGATGCCAATGAGTTTGCCACCTGCATGAATCACCCCCGTCAGGCTGAGATCTCTGGGCCGAGGTCTCCTCTTCATGCCGATGGGATTGTCTCTTTAAGCATGCCAGTATCGGCCTATTGTCCATCTTGCGTCTTCAGGTATCAAAACATCGTCCGAAGACCCAAGAGAAGGGACCCCAGGGTTCTGATATATTTGAAGCTTTTGGTGCGCTTCCTCGGCTCCTTCTGAGTTGGCTCCTTCTGACTTGGGGTTTAGGCAAGCCAGGCTTAAGCAAGGGGAGCCTCCCAGAAAGAAAAGAGCTGGGTGCCCCAAAACCACCCAAAGCCTGCACGACTGTGTCGAAGCTGATGTTTGGACCCTCCGTTCCCTTCGGCTGAAGCAATATCCAGTCGTACCTTCTCAGAAGGTACGACTGGACCCTCCAAACCTACATAACAGTGTAATCACCTTCTGAGAAGGTACGACTGGATGCTCAGGCGGGTCGCCGAGCGACCGAGTGCTCCAGCGACCAGTCCGAATGTGACGGTGCGCGAGGACAGGGGTGCTATCCGTGGAGGTCGTCGCGGTGCTATCCGAACATCCACTTACTGGAGAGTTCTAAAAAACCACTCCTTTGTAACTCCTGGCAGGGGAACACCTCAGAAGGTCGTCGGGCGCCTAAGGTGGTCATCTTGGCAATTTGCATCCTCTCCTTGCAGGCACAATGCTGAGCTGAGCTTTGGATGGTCTTGGAAAGGGAAGACCTGGTGGTCTTGTCAAACCTCGTCAGCTCCCAATCAGTCATTTTGGAAGAAGGATGAAGGAGGACGCCTAAATAGCATCAGCTGGCATGTAGAAATCACCAGATTAAATCGAAATCACTGAAAGAGAAATGATCCCTATAGGGTTGTATCATAGATCCCCATACTTGGTTGAACCCTCCCCAATTCAGTCTATAGACCCTCAACACCCTCAATGATCCAATGACCCGGTGTGAACTTCTTCACTTGCCCCAGTCCTGGCACCATCGATGTCTTCCATTGCTTTCATCGAGCTTCGGAGAAAACGGCGCGCGAGGAGTGCTATCGCGGGAGATCCAGTTTCGGTCACTTGGAAGAACCATGTGAGGTGGCTTTAGTCCCATCCAGTGAGTGGATGTTCTGGGCACGCCTATCCTCCGAGCTTGGCATCACTCCTGGTGATGCTCTGGTTTCGCCCAAAGGTCGCCCTGTCGCAGGCCCGCGGCCCGTTCCGTCCTGCGCGGGTGACAACCCCCCATTGCTCAAGCCCATCTTCCTGGGCGATGTGCTTGGCTCGATGCACCGGCGAAACGAGTCTGGCTCGGTGGGCGAAACTGGCTTCACAAAAAATCCGAAAGGCTGACTTCTGAGCCTTGAAAATGGTGAAGCGAACTCAGAAATGGTCCACCTCTTTTCCAAACTGGAGTGGCGAAACCAGGAAAAAACAATCCCATTCTGGGATCAGGTTTTAGCAGGTGGTTCACTTTTCAGTAGGAAGGGGTGAACATGAGATGTTTTATATTTTTTTAGCTCTGGACCGATCACCAGACGACCAGGTTCAGTGGCTTGTGGGGTCTCGGAACCGAAGCCAACGGCGTGGGATCCTATACCAGGGCCTTCGGGGTGGTAGACATGGACACCCCGTTCTTCACCTCTAAGGGGCTATAGACACCCCGACAGGAGGGTCCTGGTAGTAGGCCTTAGGGATATAGGGCTCTTCAACCTCTCTACAATGGGGTGTTCAAAACGAGCAGGGGTGTTTGGAGTGTTTTCTTAGACAGGTCCCCAAACAGATCGTTTTCGTCCATCAGCTGATTCGGTCAAGAAGGTCAGATTCACACCTGTTTGCCTTCCCGAACTAATTGAACTCGCCAAGGCCGGGTGAACTCGCCAAGGCCGGGTGAACTCGCAGAGGCCGGGTGTTTCGAGAACTGAGCATAGTCGCCAGCATGCCAGGTACGCTTTTCGGGTGGCTTGATGAGTAGATTCGAGGAATACCACTGATATATAGCAGGAACCGTGGGCACTTGGTCTGCGTCTTTGGAACCAAGGGTCGCAAGGGTGATCTACCAGGCCACCCCAAACACTCCAAAAAATCTGATTCGAGGAACCGGAGTGTGCAATTCCCACGGCGAACGGAAGCTCCAACCATCGAACATTGGACGTAGTTCGTCGTTCGTCGACTCGACGTTCTTATCCCACATGCATACCGTGATCCATGCAAAAGGGTCAGGACCTTCCGTTCGCCCGATGGCTTTTGGGATAGGGATCCCCCTTTCATCTCGCCCTTGGCATCCCTTGGCTGGGTAGACTGATCAAACCTTTTCCGAACCTTCCAGTGGGTCGGAACGCCTGGGAGGTCTGAGGTCTCCCTGTCCCAGGTACTCCATGATTGCATGGGAATGGTTTCAGGGGTCAATGCCGGCATATATTGCAGTCCCATGGAGTGTCCGGGTAGTCGCATGGAGTGTCGGGTATCGTCCCATGGAGTGTCCAGGTACTTTAATACACAACCAGATCGATCTAACCCATACACTCCATGTATGGAATATATGCCTACATTGGGGTGGTTTGGGGGGTCAATGTAGGCATATATTCCATACATGGAGCGTTTGGGTAAAATCATTCCCTCATCCCGCCCAGCTGCGCCGCGGAGCGCTCGATCACATCGCCCAAGCCCAGGCCGATGGTGTCACTCAGCCAGTTCCCAAGGCCTCACCCGTTGGATTTGCCGTCCGGGAACCGGGGAAGAATAACATCCCCAGGTTTGGGGATTTCACCTTAGGGATCCTTAGGGGAAAACAAACATACACCAGCCAAACGCAGACGTTTTGTCGGACGGTCCAAGCCAAGGGTTTGATGGCATGAATTTCCCGGGCTGGCAGGCTATGCAGTGATCTGTACCGATCGTTCTCGCCCACCCCAACGAACCGGAGGGCATCGGCTTCGACGCCCGAGTGACGAAGAAACCGTTCGTTTCACTTCTCTCGGCCTGCCGAAGCCATGGTGGTCAAGCCGAACATCACACCGAACTGTGCATCGATGAAGTCGCCACAAACGATCATAATCCTCGGCGTCGAGCGGAGGTGCCGGTGTATGGCTCTGTCGACAGCGGAGTCACGTGGCTTTCTTGTCAGATGAGAGTGGTTTCGCCCGTAGGCATCACTGTATAAGCGACCAGAGAGTTCGGTTTTTGTATGTTTTAGTCTTTGGAACCGTACCTAAGTATAGAAACCAGCTATTATCTAGTCTAGCTTTACCTGGATTTGCGGAAAGGAACCAAGGGGTCCAAGAGTGTGCCGAAGGATGCTAGATGAGGTGAGAAGCCCCGCACTCCGTGCACTTGGTCGTCACTTGGTCTCCTACTTCGTACCATGCGCAAACCACCATCAGGACGCACCGCCGCCGTCGACGAAATCGGCTGAGAATGCCCAGGGCCCATGTGTCCGGCTGTGACGTCCTCCAAGCAAAGGGAGGGTATTTGGACCATGGAGTCTGCGACTGAAACCTTTCACCCCAAAGAAGCAATCGAGTCAAGACCCCTGACGACCCACCAACAGGGCACACCACACCAAAAGGGCCTTTCTGCCCACCGATCTCGAGGAGACTTCGATGAGAGATCTCCACCATCGAGAGGAGCTGGACGTCCAGCTGTGAATGACTCATGAACAGAACCTGGTGGAGGCGTGACGTGAAGGAGGTGGAGACGTGACTCCAAAACGGAAGTTCTGGGAACATCACATCTCAATGCAGTTCCGGTCTTCTCTTGTTCAGTTGAGTCTTGCCAACTGACATGGCCCACACAGAAAAAACGAAGTCCTGTTACCCTGTTTGAAAAGCATTCCCAGCAAAAAGGAAGCACGTGTGATCCAAAAACACTGATATATTGCACTTAGCAAGGTTGGCAAGGTTTGTTCACTTTAAGTCTTTCAGCATTAAGCCGCTATAGTTTTTGTTGAATGCCCAACCCCAAAAAAAGAACCGCACCGGCGTTTTTCCCCGTTCCGGTCTCCCCTTTGCATCCACTCCCTCCACCCCTCCCACCCGGTCTCCACCGACCAAAGGGCGCGTTGTCCGCGAAGCCGAAGCCGAAGAAGGGCACCGCGATGAAGAACAGCAACTGCATCAGCCTCTTCGTCTCGCGCTTCGTCTCGGTGGTGTCGTCCGACCCGGAGGTGCGGGCGGAGGTGCGGGCGGCAACACCGGCGCCGCGGCGTTTCGACGCGGAGGGCGGAGGTTTTTGTAGCCCCAAATCAGGCCAGCTGAGGCAAGTCAGGTGTTGGGAACAAGGACGTTGGGGTCAGGTGCCGGTCGGTGGTCATCTGGTTGGTCTGTTTTCCTTTGGAAACTCCATGGCAGAAAAGCTTCATCCCTAAGCTCCACTGGTCTCACTCCCACCAATCAGATCCATCCAAGACCTGCCAGCCGATATATCGTCATCCACCCTCAGATCTCGATCCAAGCAGCTGCTTGCTGCCTCAGCGAGCACCCGGAGTGAGGCCGCGCTGAGGTTTGGGGGGAGGGTCGGGAAGGGATGGATTTCGATTCACAAACAAAGATATGGCTGGGGTCAAAACCAGGGACCCTGGTTGACCACTGAAAATGAACAGAATAGACTACCCAGGAGGTCAATCTATTACAGTTTATAGCAGTTATACCTCCATTAGGGCAAAAAAAATGTCAACCACCAAACCAAATAGACCAGGTCGAATGAATGATTGCTCAGGACTGAAGTATAATATACATGTAAACTAACTCAAAGAGTTGGAGAATATCTCAGGAAATCGATCCACTACTTTCTGTAAGCCAGCTGGTTTGGCATCCCTTCAAATCCGGGATTTGGGAGATGATTCTTTGTATTCCACAGTGGGCTCAAACCACTGACGTCTCAGCTGAACGACCACTCATGTCACTCACGTGGATAAGGCGCTTCGTGAAGCGTTCGGTCTTGCAGTCGAAGGCCGTTCGATGGGTGGACCAGTTCTTAGGTGGTTCCAGCGGAGTTGCTGCGTGCATTCGTGTCTCAGGTGTTGGAGTTCGCATACCGCATCCGTGCTTTTTCATGACAACCAGGAATAGACCTTGGGTCTATCGCAGGTCCATCATTCACAGTGCACGTGGATGAGATGTTTTTTGTGCTTGCAGGGCTTGTCTCAAAAAGGTCATCATCGTTCGCCGACTGGTCATGGGACAGACCCTATACTGATACCACCTTCAGACCACACATGCACAGCCGCTAAGGGTCAGCCTCAAGTCACCTGGGATCGACATGGATGCCAGGCGCTCATGCGGAAAATGGAGACCTCCAGGGCGTTTTGGCGAAAGAGCGCAGGGATGAACACTTGTTCTGTGAATCGCATAGGTGCCTGCGCCTGCTGCAACATGAAAATCATATAAAGTCCACAGACTTTGGTGTTCCTTTCGCACAAAACAGGACAAATTTTTCTGAGATCTGTGGGAGGCACAAAAAGAGGCTAGGGCGCCCGTCCAAAGATCACAGGGACTTAGCATTTGAGTCAAAACCGCCAGACCTTGGTGCACCCGAAAAGAATGGATCCCGACCTGGTCCACCATCCAGACCGATGTCCTGGATCTCGCAGCGTCTCCGTCTGAGTTTCCCCGACTCGGCTGCGCTTCAGCACTTCCCTTCACCTTGGTCTTGTCGTCGGCCTGGTCATGTCTTCATCGAAATCTGCGAAGAAATGAAACAAAGCCGGGAGATGTCATCATACCATCTGGTTGGTGCAGGACTGGACTCGTCTCTTTGTCTCTTTGACAATGAAGAAGAAAAAAAAACACAAGGGTTGGTGGGAAGTTCGGTTCCGTTCAGCTCCGGTTCTCCTTTTGATCCAGTGACTCGAAGACCAACGCAGGTCCCCACGCTGGGTTGCTAAGAAGAACATTCTTCTTGCGTCCTTAAAGACGGTGTGTAGCTGTGTAGCTCAACTAGGACAAGTTCAGTTCCCTGCCCAAGTTCCCTGCCCCCCAGTTCCCTGTCCCAGAAAAGACCAGGTGACCGGAAAATCGACCAGTCAATCCAGTCCGGCGGCCGGAGAGTCGCCCTCCCTATCTAAAATACAGAACTAGAAGCCAGTAGATCCCAGTAGATCAGCCTGCTTGGTCGAATAGATCAGCCTTATATAGGTCGAATGAAGTCCATTTTTTTCGCGTAGCCCGATCCATGGGGACAGTGAATGATCACCTGCTTTTGAAGTGAATTAGCAAATGATACAGCTTTGGAGGGAGGAAACGAGGAACCATTTTAGAGGTGGCAGAAGTGTCTTGCAGGATTCTAAGAGGAAAATAGGGAAAAGGGTGTTCACTTTGGAAGCTTCAAGCTCACAAACCCAGTCATAGCTCCAGTCGTATTTCCATTTCCAAAGAGATGTTCAAGAGGTTTGGAGGGTCTAAGCACCGACGAAAACGGAGGTACGACGACTGGAGCCCTGGGTATGACTTGGTCATAATTCAGTGATCGGCCGAATGGTTGGTGGATGAAACTCTGCTTCGTCATGAGAAATGCTCTGAGCTCCCCACTAGAAATCAATGGATTCTTCCACTTGTATAGTTAGGAGCACGTTGCAAACACAAGAGCCCAACGCATCTTCGCCTGGAACTAGACTGTTGATGGATAACCCCCCAGGACGGGAGGTGCAAAAACCAGGGTCCGGAGGTTTGTTTTTTCTCAACAGTCTAAAGCTTGGCCAGCTTTATGTGCCCATTGCTTGACCCTGACTCTGACTGTTGAACACAAATGGAACACATCAAATGGAACCCATGTTCCACTCAGTGCTTGATCTTCCATTTGATGTGCCCATGACCGCTTGACCGCCAAACAACACAATTGGAACGCAGAAACCAGTGGAGTGGTCTTCTCGGGTGAATGCCAACGTGGCCTGCGAAGCGTCACAGTACTCTTGACCCCAAGAAGACTCCACACCCGGTTTGGCCTCCAATGAAAAGGACGCTACTATAGTAGCACAAGGACGCTACTAGTAGCTCCTGGCCGTACTACTGGAAACAAGAAGCTACTAGTAAAGTTACTAGTAAATTCTTGGGAGAAGACCTACCTGGACCATCCTGTCTTGGTGTCCTGGCTGGAGATCTCTAAGCAGTGCAGGGTAGTCCAGACAGGACACCCATCGCATCCTCCTGGCATATATAGTGTTGCAGTCTAAAACCCTTCATAAAACCATGGTTGGGCGGTGATGTTGCTGGGATGGTGATAGAGATTCATGGGACAAAGACATGCATGAATAGTCAACTTAGCCTCTCGGTCGAAGCTTATCTGGATAGCCTGGCCACGAAAAGAACAATTCAATGTTCACACAGGCCCGACAACGCTTGGAGCCTCACAGGCCGCGTCGGTGGAGCCAAAAAGGGGGCGCAACATTAACTTCTATTTTAAGCTACTGTCAAGCGAGTCTCTTTTAAGCTACTGCACCCACTCTGTAGAAACCCTAACTGGTGTTCAACCCCCTTATGTTGGGTTTGTTATAGGTTATATAGGTGGTTATTATAAACCTGCAATTAAAAGAAGAAAACGGTGACGACTCGTCTTCGTCTTCGCCTTCCGGTCTCTTTTCCCGTCTCGTTCGTCTGGCCTTAATCTTGGAGGCACGATCGCGGTCCAAGGTGCCTCAGCAGATGTGGTTTTTTGCTGTTTTGCTTCACAATGGTTATTTGGTAAAGGCATACCCGTGTCGAAATCGGGTGGGGGGGTCCCTCATTCGGAGGATATGGTCATGGGTATGTAAAGGCTATTGAAATTGAATGGTTGGAATCCCGTTGCCCTATGCACTGGGAAAGTGCATCACCGGGAACAGCTTCAGGTCGGTGTCTCAGGTGTTGCGGGAGGTTGCATGCCGGAAGTGTTTATCTGTTTGTTCGTGACCACCAGCGATATATCTGGATCTTCCAGCTATGCTGAATTTCTGCCTTTTAGATCCTGACAAGGCAGACATGTTGCACAGACATGTTGATCCAGCTGTATACTACAGTGGCAACTGGAAGTACTAGAAATAGCTGCTTCCAGAAGCACACCCTTCATTGCGGGGGTCCGTTCACTTAGTTAAAGACCTATATTCACCTATAATAGAGATGGGATGCTTTGTCATCTGGACATGCGGATACTTGGGACTTACCATGTTTCCGGGAAATAAAGACACACACTATAAACTGCCCCCAAAAAAAAAGAAGAACTCACTACAGAATGCTCTTTTCTACGGGCCTTGAGGCCCATGATTCTGTAATGGAAAATTCCATCGGGGAGACAAAAGCAGTAAACAGTCCTCATGAAATCCGGATTGACCATTGTTTGGATCGGTAAGAGGCTTCTCTGATTCCTACAATGTCATACCAATCACCCAAGCACTGCTGAGTGCAAGGGTATCTTACCTTCCCAAATACCAACAAGCCAAGCAATTCTCCACTGCCTGCGCATGTCCCAGGCATGGCAAGGGTCATTGGGACACCGCATGAAAACCTCCAACACAGTGGAAACCAGATTGGGTGTGTAGCTCAAATAGGGAGACCTCCCAAGCGTGGCGTTCCAAACCCCCTAGGAAGGTTCGGAACATAAATGAAAACAGACCAAAAAATACTCCCAACTGGTCCAGGTCACTCCAAACCTCCCAACTGGTCCCTCAAAACCCATAGGCCGGGATGGCTTTGAAACCCGGGACCCCTCGGGTCCCGAACCGGGCGGTCGCCGGTCGAAGTCCACCGAACCCACCGTCCCGCGCAGCGACCCACCGAGCGGCCTAAGAGCTCCACGTAGAGCCTCGGAAGGAAGCGACCGCGACGGGGGCCGGCCTGACCCGTCGCAGGGCTTTGCTGTCAAGTCCGGGAACCAAATTGAACAGATTCCCCCAGAAGAGGATTTAACCTAAGGAAAAAAGATGAAAAAAAGATCACCTGATCCGCCAAAACCTGTCCAGGGGATCCCTGTGAAGTGGAGAGAACCCTGTTTGCTTCATCTCAAAAGCTCCCTGAGGCGTCGGGCGTCGTCGAAAAGACCCAGAAAAAGGGTTAAGACATGTTAAGACATCCTGGAACCAAAAACTGCCTGGACCCAGGGGCCCTGGTGGCCCTGTTTCAATCTCCTCATGACTCAGCCTCAGCTTTTGGGATGAAGAAGCAGCCAAACAGGGCATCCACTTGGACTCTCAAGCTGGGTGAACCTGGGTGAACTAGAAGTGTTCAAGCCGGTCGCAGTCGGACGTTGGACGGAATCGCTACCCGCTACTTGGTCTCGATGAATACTGCATGAATGTACAGGCCCCAGGATTGATTCCATTGTCAATTGTTTTACTTTGGATTTTACACTTCCAAGCAAGGTCTTCCCATTTGTCATAGTCTTGGAAGGCTCGAGCGCATGGCACCTCCAACCATTCGACTGACGCACCTTTCCGCGTGAACATGCACGGCCCCAAAAACGCGAACAGCACCAGAGGAGCGAGCGAGTGAACCAGCACCGAGCTGCAAGTGGTAGAAGCTCGCCTGCACCGCCCGCCAGCCTGGAGCATCGATGATCCTCTGCAAGTCCTGAGGGTCCGCGGTTCGGAACCCGCTAGCGTCCAAGGCACGGGGGGAGGGCGGGAAAGTGGCGACGTTGGAGGCACTGGTGAGAATCCAGTCGAACTCGTTGGGAGCACGGCCCATGCCCCAAAAACCCCATGGGGGGGGGGCGGAAGTGAAGGGGGCGGAAGTACTCGCCTGTTCAACGCCTTCGGCTGAAGTCAGGTCAGCTGAGGTGAGTCACATCAGCGATCTGCCAGGATGGAAGTCGCGTTTGTCCGGCGGTCTCCGGAGTGAGGGTCTAATCGCTGGAAAGGAGCGAGGGAACTCTGAACCCCTCAGCTTCACTGGAAAACTTTCATATTCACTCCGCTTCGCGGTAGAAGCTGCCCGCACAGTTTAAATGGAGAACGTGTCAGTATCACCCCACGAGGATACGGGTTGGTTAGACGGTTGTGGGTGTGGGAAGCAGCAACTTGTGCTGTCGGTCTGTCTCGGTATGTCTGTCTCGGTCTGTCAGTCTGTGAGTCTTGGTCGGGCAGGACACACGGACGACACACGCACGATGTCAATAATGCAGTTTCCCCGGGCAGCATAACCTGCATCGCTAACATTTACCTCCGAAGCCATACGGACAATCATCCACGAATTGTTATCATGTTCAAAAAAAAACACAAAAACGCTGCATTCTAGACAAAAACGAGGCCCCCCCCTCTAAGCTAACGCTTAAGCTGGTTGTCTAGCAGCTGCGTGCGGATTATTCCGGTTGGTTGATTTCTTGCAGAACGCCTTTAGTGGTATTCCCCCCAAATCTCCAAAAAAGGATCTTGCAGGGCGTCCACTGACTGGGAAGAACTGCTGAACTGCATCGGTCAGGGGTCTTATAGACCGTCCATGATTGTAGGATGCAAGCAGAGGAGTGGTTCCAAAGACAACGTATACCCACTGCATATAGAGTCTATCTAGAGTTTCATCAAGCCTTGATTCCCAAGCCCAAACACTTCATGATCATATGCACCAACATTGGGGTGATGGATTTCAGGGATGTTGGGGGGTTGAATCTTCCGCACACACTTCGTGTGGGACGGGACATCCACCGAAGCTGCAAGTAGCATCAACCCCCAAAGGCCACTCAGCTGCTTCAGGCTGAGCTTCGTCCAAGTCCCACTCCAGCCACTCAGTGGGCTCTGCTGCAACAATGTCGGAGGGGTAGACCTTCCTGTGGCGAGCGGGTTAAGAGCATCTGCGGGAGGTTTGAAGATGTCACTCTTTGGGGATACTATACAGAAGATATGCATATTTGGATGTGGTTTCCTGGAGCATTTGGGATGAAGATATCACTCTTCGATACTACAATTGAAGAAAAACCAGCACCTTCCTTGGAAGGAAAGCGGTGCCAGGCAGCACGGCATCAAGCACATTCCAAGTGGAGGTGAGCTACCGCCAAAACCGCGGAAATTCCGTCGTAGTTACCCTAGTAATCCCCACGCAAGCATCTATTCCAAGACACCTGGAATAAGGGGTGCCCATGGGTGGTATAAGGGACACCTCCGTTCACAAACCGCCGGGAAGGGCTCCAAAGACCACCCCTTCCAACAATGATCAACTATTGCTACTTTTGGGTACCCCGGGCGACGGGTGCTACTTTTCAAAGTCACAACAAAAAGAACAACTTCTCTTGGTAGGTGTCTGGCTCTCTTTCTTTCTTGGTAGGTGTCTAGCTTGGAGACTTTTGGGTCGCTCTTCTCAGGTCTTGCCAGGTCTTTGGGTCGCTTTTCTCACAGACTGGCTGCCCAGGAGCTCTCTCTCTCTCTCTATCTATCTATCTATCTATCTCTCTTTCTCATGCACCCCCACCCACCACCTCCATCCATCCCCACATCCGATCTTCCGGCCGAGCTGCTCGGTCACCGAGCCGTCCACCAGCGCGGAGCCGCCCACCACCGAGCCACGCACCGGGCCCTGGGGGGGAGAAGAACGCAGATGTGGAGGATCGATTTGGAGATGTTTAGATGTAGATTTGGGAGATTTGGAGATGTATACCCTGGGATTCAAAGACTATACAAAGAATGGTCTTTAGGTTGACTTCTAGGGTATAGCATATACGGTATATGCGTGTTCCTTTTAGATTTAGAATATTGGGGAGGCGTTTTGGAGTCCCTTTCGATTGGCCAAGGGTCCCTAGGTCCTACGCTGGTGTTCTGGGCTACGTGGATTGGGTCCTGCTGGCTATGTGGATCGGGACTCCAAAAGAGAAAACACTCCAAAACTCAAACCAACTCTTTGGTCGACGTCGAAAACGCTGGAAAGTTTTGAGGTCGGGCTTCTCAAAGGAAGCCACTTAAACCACTTCCATGGAAGCGACTGAACATAATAGGGGCACGGGGACACTGAACATGCCTCGCAGCCGTTCCAGCATGTTTCTTGCACGGACGATGGTGATATCATATTCGGGATGTCTACTTATCAGTGGCAGTGATCCGATGATAAGTGAACAATAGGCCTATAGAATGGTCTAACCACCGAAACTGAGGAAATGGTTGGAGCCCTAATAGAATGTGGGTCAGATCTCCAAAAACCGAGGGCCGAAGAACGGATGCGTCTGTTTCGAAAGAAACAACCACCTCTCCATACCTCGTCCGTCGTCCGCCTCTTCTGAGGGCGACGTGGACGGTGGTTTCGAGTTCCAAACACCGCGCGACGGTTTCGCCGATGGTTTGTAGAGGTCAACAACTCCGTTCAGCCCAGGTTCACTCCGTGAAAGCTCGACTGGTCCCGAACCGAACCCAATCGGACCCCTACTGAACGGAGCTGCTTAGGCCCCTACTGAACGGAGGGTCCATGAGTGTCTGGGAGGGTGCCTACTAAGAATCCGAGTCCGGGCTCTCCATGGCAGGGGTCGGACCCGACACCTTCGCAGGGTTCCGGGCCCGAACCAAACCCTATGCTTCAGGCCCGGATTCTTAGGGAGAGAGTACTCTTGTGACCGTGAAGAAGGTAAACATCTGTCACAACCAGGGTCAGGATCCTGGCAATGAAGAGTGACGTCCAGAAAACAGCTTCGTGAAAGAAAGCGCTTAAGCTGGAAGTGGATGGCCCTTGGAAAGACCATGAAATCCGAATACCACTTCCACTTCCAAACAAGGGGGTGTCCAAATTCCACTTTCAAATGAAAAACAAAAAAAGAAACCAATGGTTCAATGGACCTTGGAAAGACCGTTTTCCGAATACCAAACAGGAGGTGAACTCCACTTCCATGTTTGTTGCCTGCAACGCAACTGTTCAGCTGCGCCTTCTCCAGCAGCTGCGGCGATAAGCTCTGGCGCGGCGTTAGCCGTCCCAAGTAGACACCTGAGGCGATTCTCCGTCTTCCGTGGACTTCACTCGCAGGCATCATGCACCCTAGGGCTCCTGTCCCATCTCCTCACAAGGTGGTTAGATCCCCCTGGCTCCCACCCCAACCGTCTTCGAAACGGAGGTGGTTGGAGCCCTAGGGACAATGAGATGGCTACAGATTCTTAGCCATCCCCCCTAGGGTCCTAGAGAGGTGAGTGTCCAGCACCGCAATCGAAATGAGTTTACGCAGCAATGTTTACGCGAAAAAAAACGTCCGGATAAAAGACAGGTGACCATTCATCTCTCTGAGTGATTCTGATGTGAGAATTCAATGGGAATAATATGGAATAATAAGATCCTTTTTAAAGCGAGAGGCGTGATATTTGTGTGCTTTCTTGGTGCTCTTTCTATACGAACAGTTCTTCTTGTTAAGTTCGAGGTTTGGGAGTGTCGTTGTCGTCATGGTCGTCGTCGTCGTGGTCGTCGTCGTGGTCGTTGTCCTTGTCCTCGTGATGGTGGTTGTGTTGTCGTTGTTGTTTTGTTGATGCTCTTCTTGCTTTGTTTCTTGTTAGATCTTGTTAGTGTTGATGTTGTTGTCTTTGTTGTCCTTGTTCTTGTTCTTCTTGTTGTTGTTGCTGTTGTTGGTGGTTCTTCTTCTTCTTCTTCTTCTTGTTGTTGTTGTTGTTGTTGGTGGTGGTCGTCACCGTCATCGTCGCCGTTGCTGTCGTTGTTCTTGCTTTTGGTGTTCTAGCTCTTGCTGTCAGTCGGTTTTGTACAGTATCGCCTCGTGGGCAGCCTGCAACCGCCCTCTGGGTCTCGCTGTTCTGGGGACCAAACATCAGGAAGCATACGATGATCCTGATTGTTTAGTGTGATGAACTGGCCGCTGTATTATCCATATTAGCTTGGATTCAGTTTGACCAAATACTCAAGCTCGTTCGCGGACCAAGGCGTCAGCAAACAATACCTGATACTCCCTGAATTCGCTTCTGCATCTTCTTGACCAGCTCAGCACATAGGACAGTCCGCCTGCTTCGTGTACTTGGAGCGCCACCCTTCGATCTCATAGAACGTCCATGCCACAAGGTCGATGTCCTACAAGACTGCCGACAGCATGGGGACGAGACCATGGCAGGAAACCTTTGCCGCCACCACCACCAGAGGGGGTGGGAACTCCCCAGCCTCTGTATGAGGAGGACGAGGAACAGGAGGAAGGAAGAGGAGCCAGGATGAGCACAGCAATCTGACCAGGCAGGAAGGAAAGAAGTGAAGAAAGAGAAGAAAAGAACGAGCCCTTGCCTCAAAACTCCCGCATCAAAAAAAGTGCCACGAGCCAAGCAAAACAACAACCGAGCACAAGAACAAGCACCTGCCGCATAAAACAAAGAACAATTGCCCAAAACCACCACCGCTAGCACATGGGAGGAACACATCCAGCACAAAAGGAGTCCTACGCGAAAAGAAAAGACACCTCCCGCTACAAACAGCCCAAATACTAAAAGAAAACACCCAGCCCAAAATCACTTACACACTAGAAACCATAGATATGACTAAACATCACGTATCATGTCTATATACGTTACAGTAACGACCTCATATTGTTTTTTGCGCACAACCTTCCAGGCCTTTTTTGGGTCGTCCAAAGCTTTACGGATCGACCGCCAAGGCACAAATGGGATCGCCCAGCTTTTCAGGACTCCTGCGCCGTGGTGAGGAGCCGTGTGTGTTAGAGAAAAAAGAGGACGTTGGGATGGTCGGGATGGTGGGGGGCACAGTGATGAGCTTGGGGATTGGTTGGGGGTGGGTGTTTTCCGTTGACAATCGGTGAAAAACCGGTCGCTCTTCGGACCGTGGGTTCCGTGGGCCGTCGGATAGGTGTTGAGGGTCTCACTAGACTGATTGGGGAGGTTCAACCAAGTATGGGGGATCTTTAATATGATACCCTAGGCCCCCCAGGGCTCCTGTCCCGGTGACCGGTGGTCTTCGAACCCCCAGGTATCTCCCTATCGAAGCGATTGCCGGAGCTGGGCCGATGGCCGGAGCCCAGTCACGGGTAATTCACCTGTTTGACCGACACGGTTCAACATGCAGCATGCGAGTTTACAGGATTGTGGCTCGAAGTTTGGATCAAATTCACTATTTGAGTCTCAAGGGCACTTGGACTGAGATTCTCTGGGATTGGTGGGAACGAAAATCCACCACGCACGAAGAAAAAACGCCACCCGTTTGTGCCACCTCAGCAAGGCTTTGAGCCCCAAAAACCCACATGAGACCAGTGGTCAAGTGGTGTAGACAACAGAATCCCTAGGGCCTGAAAAAGAAGTGCAACAACATCATCCCCCGTGGGTGTTAGGTTGGGTGCTTTGCCGGTCATTACAGAAACGTGTGTCCTATAGCATGTGTCCTTTTGGGATATGTAGGGCATCACCCATGGAGTATTATTAATATATCATCCAGTCTTTGTGAAGTCATGTGCAGGGAGTTCTCAAAACGCTTCCACGCGGCCAGCCTCTTGGGTTTCACCCCTCACATCTCTCACAAAAGTCTCTCCTACCTCACCCGGATGGAACTCAAGGCAAGGTGCTCAGGGCCGTGCTTGTGCGCCACAGCTGCGCCATACGTGAGCAACACAAACCTGGCACCGGAAATCCCAAAGCAGGGCGATGGTTCGTGTCAGAAGTCGTCCCTGGAATTGCATGGAATTCCCCAGCCGAACTGCCCTCAAACACTCCGTTCACAGCCCTGAAGGGTTCGATCTCCATAGCTTCTTGTTACTACATGTTACTACTAGTAAGGCACTTGTTACGAACGTAGCGATGCACTTGTTCCTATAGTAGCTTATTGTTTCTGATGTTCCTTCATTTGCCCTGAAGATCCTGAAGCTGGTTTCTGGAGGAACAGCCGACAACTCCACAAGTCTTACGCGACGGCTGGGCGAATCACCAGCGATCTGATCTGAGCTTCGCGTCGGGCCTTCGTCAAAAACCTCAGAGTTCTGCTAAAAGCTAAACAAATGATCGTACACTTGTACATCATTGTCATGTTGCTTGTTTAGATTGCCGGTGTCCAGCAACAGTACCCTGTCCCTGTCCACACGTCCCGCGAGCGTGTATTGGTCCGAATGACTCTATAGCTATATAGTTGGCACCACTGAAGTGTGAAGGCAATTCCAACACGGACAGCACTCACCTGGCACAGTTCTGAACTTTTCTACCTCCACGAGGACGCAGACGGACTCACAGACCTGGACCTGGGCGACCGAGGCGTCCTGAAACTCCTATCCCGTTTGGCCTCCAGTCGTACCGAAACCTGAGAAGGTGAGACGACCAGGGCGGTGCCAGTCGGGTCCAGTCATACCGAACCGGCTTGGAGGTACGACTGGAGGTGTAAGGGTATGCCGAAACCCCCACCTTTGACCACAGGTGAGTCTCGGGTGAGGTCTCGTCTCGAAACTCACCTGGCCCGGGACACGTCACACCACCTCCTGGGTGACCCCTCTTGGTCGCCTGCCGTTGCTCTTCCCGCCCGGCACCACCACGGAGCCTGGCGTGGCCTGCAGCGGACTCCGCGGAACGGGAAGACACGCTGGAGGTGAGTTAGACACACAAATACGAGGGTGCTATCAACAGTGATTTGGGCAAAGAGTGGCAGGCCACTCTTTCGGCAGGCCGAGAACGTCAAAAAAATGGATTTTTCCTTGTGCTTTTCCTGTACATCTGTAACGAGGGTCGGGTGATTTACCACCCTTACCTCTCACCTTCAGATCCCTCAGATTTGGAAGGAAGAAATCATTTGGTGCTCACGACCCTGCCTCCCGTGCTTCAGTCAACATGCGGATCTTCACCTCAACCTCCCAGGAACTTTCAGCCCATGGGGCCCCATGGGGCCCATGATCTCAACCAAAAGCCCTCAGACTGGCTGTGAACCGGGCGCTTTCCCTCAAGAGAAGGACCAAAGACGGCGCGAATCTGCCAATCCATCCCAATCCAACAGGTCCAACCGGTTCAGAACGGAAACAGTTTTCCGTGTGGTTTTTCCGCAGACCACCCGGAATAGTGTCCGGGCCTTGCACTTGTTGGCAAAGCTCATGAGACGTTCATACTGCATCATGGACACGCCCACGGGGCGGAAGACCTCATCGTACAAATCCACGTTCACACCTCGGTCTCAGGCGGAGAAGGCACACGGAGAAGGCACTGGGACGTCGTTTTGGCGTCGGGACTTGGGATGGATTTCTGCGGCACCGTCTTCACGAAAAAAACCATGGTTTAGATATGTTATAGATACTGGCAACGTGTGAGTGTGACCTCATAAAAGTCCTCGTAAATACCATGTGACCATGTGATACTGGCAACCATGTGACCTCGTAAATACCGTGGCTCTCCCCTCACAGGTCGTCCAGGCGTTTACCCTCTCAACAGCAACAAACATTTGCATGTCGATGGTCTCTGTTCCACGCAAACAGAAAGATCATGTCTATTGGGGAAATCCATCGGTTGGGTCCCTCACCCATTGTTGTTTGATGGTTTGAAAACACGATGTGTTCATTCATGAACCACAGGCTGGCAGAGATCCTCCCGGCACTGAATCTGGCACTCATTCCCTGCATGAATAGCTAATTCCCCTCCTTTTCCAATAAACAAAAAAACGCCCGAAACTTCGTAAGACTCATCAAAATGAGCGCGCCTACAAAACTAATCCGTAATCCTGCTAATCCGAAAAATGTCTGTAATCCGAACAATCCCTAATCCGCAGTAGTCCGCAATCCTTACCCAGCCTTAAAATCCGTAATCCTTAGAAGCCCTAGGATGGAAAGGACCTAGGTTCCTGAATAAGGGGCTGTTGATTTGGAATTGCACGGCCATGTAGGGATCCTCACAACCCCGACTTGGACGCAACCAAACAATTGAACTCGAGGTTCTGGGTTTAGATCACAACCGCGATTTGGACGCAATCGAATGAAACCATTGAACTGAATTTTGGATTAGGAACCCCGATTAGGAAGCTACCGACGCAACCCACTGAAGTGCACACGCCAAGATCACACCACGCTGAATTGTGAATGCGTTTGCGTTTGATTCACAATCGGGGTTGCGAGGGTGGCTCTGGGTGGACCGCTTGGCGCGCAACACTGACTCAGCAAGCATTTTGGGCTCAGCACCTTTGGAGGAAGGAACACAGGTCTTCCGGAGCACACGATGGGCAATGGTGCTCTTCCCCGCATGGCTCACCAACAACGTCTCCTTCTATAACACTTCTCTGTCGCTGCCAACTCGGCGTTTCCGAGCCCTTTGAGGGAGCTTCTGCCCTGATTCGACAACTTTGCACGGGTTCAGGCGCCGCTGTCCGTGGGACTTGGCAGCCCAGGACGAGGCAACTGTCGCCACAAAATCCTTTGGCTCGCTCCCCTCTGACTTTGTCAGGTTCAGGTCCAGTCAAGCGGATTCGTGCTTGCTGGTCAACTGATTCATCATCCAACAAGGGGTGGGAAGTTCTAGTCTGAAGTTCTAGTCTGCCGCTTTTCCCGAGAGCGCCTGCGAAGGGTTCTTCGTAAAAAAACCTCTGCAGAACTACACCTCATCTACATCTTCACATCTTCACCTCTGCACAATCACATTCTCACCTAATATCTCTGCTCATGTTCACATCTACATTCACATCTGCACATCTACATGTCTGCTCATCTTCACATCCTCACATCTACATCTCACATCTTTACCTCTCATCTACATCTCACATCTTCACCTCTCGCTCTTCTTAACTTTCTCTCTTAAGGCCGGGGGCAGTGCCGCCGGACCGCCACGAAACGCAACCCTCTGCGGAGATCGTGCGTGTCGAATGAGCGAAATGCAGGCGAGAGTGCGATTTGGCTTTGTCCGGCGCAACCGTCTGCAGAGATCGTGCGTGTCGAGGGAGCGAAATGCAGGCGAGAGTGCGTTTTGGTCCGGTCCGGCGCAACCCTCTGCGGAGATCGTGCATGTCGAATGCGCGAAATGCAGGCGAGTGCCTTTTGCATTTGGCGCGGGCAACCCTCTGCGGAGATCGTGCATGTGGAGGGCGCAAAATGCAGGCGAGAGTGCGTTTTGGTCCGGTCCGGCGCAACCCTCTGCGGAGATCGTGCGTGTCGAATGCGCGAGATGCAGGCGAGAGTGCTTTTTGCATTTGGCGCCGGCAACCCTCCGCGGAGATCGTGCGTGTCGAGGGCGCGAAATGCAGGCGAGAGTGCGTTTTGACCCGGTCCGGCGCAACCCTCTGCGGAGATCGTGCGTGTCGAGGGCGCGAAATGCAGGGCGATGAGTCCCATGCGCGCGCGTATGTGGGGAGCTGGAGGATGAGACCTGGTGACTTGCTAGTACAACTGTAGTACGCGAAGTAGCTGGGGAGCTGGAAGCTGAGAACTGGCGACTTTGTAGTAAAACTTCAGTACGCGGAGTATCTGGCGAGCTGGAAGATGAGAATTGGTGACTTGCGAGTACAACTTTAGTACGCGGAGTATCTAGGGAGCTGGAAGATAAGAATTGGCGACTTTTTAGTAAAACTTTTTAGTACGCGGAGTACCTGGGGAGCTGGAAGATGAGAACTGGGGACTTGGTAGTACAACTTTAGTACACGGAGTATCTGGGGAGCTGGAAGCTGAGCACCGGCGACGTTATGGTAAAACTTTAGTACGCGGAGTATCTGGGGAGCTGGAAGATGAGAATTGCTGACTTGCTAGTACAACTTTTACGCGGAGTATCTGGGGAGCTGGAAGATAAGAATTGGCGACTTTGTAGTAAAACTTTAGTATGCGGAGTACCTGGGGAGCTGGAAGATGAGAACTGGGGACTTGGTAGTACAACTTTAGTAGGTGGAGTATCTGGGGAGCTGGAAGATGAGAATTGGCGACTTTGTAGTAACGAGCGTCCCAAAAGAGTGCCCCGCAAGAGCTTCCCACAAGAGTGACCCACATGTCCCACGAGAGTATCTTGACACGCTCACATCTGTATATGTACCTCTCCACCTCCACACCTCCACCTCCACACATCTGCTTCACTTTTGAAGAAGTCCCGTACGAAACGCTCGTTTTGGAGACTTGGCGCTTCACTTTTGGAGGAAGTCTCGTACGAAACGCTGGTTTTGGAGACTTGGCGCTTCACTTTTGGAGGAAGTCTCGTACGTAACGCTCGTTTTGGAGACTTGGCACTTCACTTTTGGAGGAAGTCTCGTACGAAACGCCGCAGATCTACCTCTCCACCCCCACACACCCACGCATCGGCGTAGCTACACCACACCTGCGCGAAATGCAGGCGATCCGCGGCTGCCACAAAAAGAGTCATCGTGACGTTAGTACGGGTGTACTTCACCTCCATGACAAACGATGTTCGCTTGGAACACACGAGTCGCTTCTCATGATCGTGACGTCGTTTGCTCTCAGGTCGCCCTGTTCGTGGCAACTTCAGTGTGAAATGTACGTTCTTCAGTTCTATTTGAACCTCTTCAGCGTTGTACTTGCACAACTAAGGTCGACGTTGCGCTGCCGTCGCATCTACGTCTGCACCCCCTCACCTCTCTACATGTTCATCTTCACACGCTCACATCTGCAGATCTACCTCTCCACTTCACCACGCCTGCACATCTATATCACATCTGTACATCCACACTGTCACTCCTTCACATCTGTCCTGTCTTTCGTTCTTTCTACATATCTTTTCAGTCTCGTCTCTGTGCATTTACATCTTGGCACGCTCACATCCACAGATCTACCTGTACACCTCCATACATCTACACATTCTATATCGCACCTGCACATCCACACTGTCACTCCTTCACGTCCACCCTTTCTTTCTATCTTTCTGTATATCTTTTCGACAGTGCTGGACAATCACATGTCTCGCTCTCGGGCCACCGGTCGTCTAGTTTCCAAAATGCTAGGTCTCGCTCTACATCAGCATTCTGGAACGTTAAAGCACAACGAGCAGCAATCACACGCAAGGACACACTGCAACTCCATCCTGCGCATCTGGCCCAGCAATTGGCCCCACATAGCTTGAAGACAGCACTGCAAAATGCTGCATCACACCAACGTTGGCAAACCTTCTCTCCAGGTCTTGTTGCGTGACCTGGTGCGACCTCGTTCAAAGTCTGAGAGTTCATGCGAAGCTGAAAGTCTGTGTCTGCGACAGGATACTTCGCTATCAGCTTGCCTGGCAATCTTTCAATATGAATCTGCAGAATTCCGCCAGCATGCAATCCTAGCTAATCACGGAAACGAAACGAGTCACGGATTGGAGATAGAGTCGTTCCTGAAACTTACTATCATTTTGGGACTACTCTGGAGAAGTGCGTGGCGAACCGCAAAACGTGTTCACACATTACCTAGAATCCGCACTAGCATCGACGCGGGCAGGCTCAAAAAGCTTCGGAAGTGCACACGCCAACCGACCGGAGCCGGGAGCCGTATACTTCTCCGGCTCTTGCTCTGTCGCTGCCACTAGGCCTTCCAGGCTCGAGACTCGCAACTTGGTTCTCTGCGTGGCTCTATTCAAGCGCTTCATGTACTCCAATGCAGCCCCCAAGACTAACCAGTGTTTGAAGTCTGCCACGTCCGCGCCCATCACGCGGGCCCATGCAGTCTGTGGATCGGCTTCGGGGCCTTGCGAGTTCCCGTACATAGCTGATGATGGCAGGAAATGATTACATCAAGGTTCTTGCTAGGCTGGCACTGCGTGAGAAACGAAGCGCTGTGGTGCAAAGGACAAATTGTGGTGCATGCACTTCGTCATCCCGAATGTCTTTTGATAAAGCCTGCAGGCGTGCTTGCCCTGTGCTGGAACTCTTCGCGTGAGCAGCCAGGCGCCGGAGAAAGCGCAAGGTTGAACTCACACCCCGACCAAGGGCAATCGGACAGAGCTTAATCATGTCGTCAGAGCCCGACCAAGAGCATTGCGCCCCATTGTTCTGCTTTCTGGGGTTCTGCACTTTCGGTTGGGGCAAACATCACTGATGCCTTCAGCTTCACTGATAGATGGATAAGTTTTCACATAATTATAGAGACTGTGGAAAACACTGGCTAAACCCAAGCTCAGTACCAGAGCCCCGCACTAGAAAGCTTTCCCACAAAGCTTGGTTCTGGGGGTTGTGAAATGTTGGAATTTGAAGAAGAACTAAGTATACAACCAATAACGTTCCGGGATGCATCAGCTGAGAGCAGCTTCCACTCCGCCGAGCCCTGCGTGGGTGACAGCTTCTTCTCCTTCAAGAACTGCTAAAACCCACGATCTGCGCATGCCAAAAAATCCAAAGCTCTACAGTAATCCGTAGTCCTAGTCACTAGTCTCAAAAGGGGGTCTCCGAGTTCTAATCCGTAATCCGCACCAAACCGGACAATCCGATAGTTTGTAATCCGGAATCCCGCTTAGGATTGAGGATGGGGCCAGTTTAAGAGCTTCCCAAAAAATATCCAGCCCTTCCAACCCTTTCGCCTCGCATGTTGTCCAGGGAGTCCCAAGAACGCGTGGCGTCGCTAACGCGCGTCGCAAGCGAGCGGCTCCGGGAGTCCTTCACCGGGGTGTTGAAACGACTCACGAAGCCACGCCTGTGGAGCGCTTAGTTCGCGTGGAAGGATCCGGGAACGATCCATGTGGATCGCGGATCTAAGAGATGCAAGCTTAGGGTACCCATTGGGTATATTACCAGGGCCCAGTGGATGATGGTTAGTAAAGGCCGTTCTCAAAAATAATGACTGGATTGGATCTTGAAAACTACCAAAAATATGGTTGTTTTGTTTTTGGGATGTTTTGGTCGTTTTGTTTGTTCTCCGTTTCTTTGTGGTCGTTTGATGTCGTTTGTGGTCGTTTTTTCAGTGTTGCGTGAATTTGCGGTAATTTTACTGTTTGTGTTGATTTGCGGGCGTTTGCGCTGAAAACTGAGTCAATGACCAAAACTACCAGAAATTGTTCTTTTGTTAGATGGCCCAATGGCCCAGGTCTTCTACCGACTGTTTCTAAACCTCCTAAGGAGGTATGACCCTCCTAGACGCTCCAAACCTCTCAAACCTCTTCAATTCCACCGTCAAAAAGGACCTACGACATGGTACGCCCCACAGAAACTCACAAACTGTAGCACTCTCCTTAGTGAATTGGTGCAAAAAAAAGACCAGAGTCGTCCGAAAAGGGACATGATCTCTGTTTCTTTGCAGATCCTGTTCATCTAATTGATCAATCAATATGCATGATCAATCCATAGAAAATCAGAAGTCATATCTTGGTAGGTCATCTCAGCGCTCCAACCTGCGTGACCCACCTCCACCGCCCTTCCTGGTGGTTCCCACCCCATTCCCCACCTTAAGAGGAATCCGGGTCTCCGGAAGTCCTTGCAGGAACCGCTTGGACTTCCCAACTTGGTGGGAGAAAGATCCAGTAAAACTGCATGGGCTGATGGGATGGGTTGGGTTGGGTCTGAGCTTTTGAGCCAATTGGGGTTGGAGATGGCTGTCAGTACCATCCAAACCCACCGGAAGAAAAAAGGAAGAGTGTCTACAAGCTGCAGGTTCCTGGGTTCTATTTTGTTGGGCAACATCCATACACAGTACATGTGAACAATACCTAGAAGCCGAGAACCACGCAGGCCTGCAAGGAACAGTCAGGTGTTGGCCCTTTTTCCCGGTCTCCGATCCATACCCGGTTGAGTCAGGGAACCTGATCAAAACAAGTCGATGGGTTGACCCATCCCACGCAACAGAACTGGTGATCCTGCAACAATTGATCCTCTGGAGTCTTCAGTACACTGGAGCCAAGAGTAGATGACACTGGCTTCCCAAGACGTCTTTTAGATGGGAGGGTCCATATAAACCCCACTGATTTCAGAGTATGTACAAACCCAATGATATCTTTTAGATGGGGGGTTCCATCTAAACCTCCTTTCGGGCTTGTGCCGTCCACTCTCCACTGGTGTCCCCGTTCGGGCCCAACAACTCTCAACGAACGACCTGTTGGAGGACCAAGCCGTCAAGGTAAGCCGTCAGCCCTGTCCCCCGGACCGAAGGTGATGTGACGTTCACTGGAGAACAAAAGCTATCTTGGCGATCTGCAAGACTAGAACAAGAAGGAAGGCTTTCTGCTTGAAAGGCCACGGGGGGCCACGACCAAAGAAAGGAAAACAGAAACCCAAATGATTTCCAGTGAATCTCCAAAATCATGATCTGTCCCTTCTAGACTTGGTGATCTCACTTCTCCAAAATTAGACATCTGACATCTTCTTTTTCCAGTGCCCCCTTTTTTTGCCAGAAGGATGATACGGAAAGCCGAAGATTTGCGCCATGCTCCAACTACAAGCTCCTCGTGCTCCTGGTGCTTTTGTGGGCTACATCCACAAGGGCAGTGTGCCCATGACAGTAATTATACAAACCGACAGACCCCCTGTCCATAGAAAAGGAAGATCCCCACATAGAAAATGTCTTCCAACAGAGGTGGGTCAGGACCCGAACCGTTCGCCTATCCCAGGTTCGGTACCTGCAGGTGACGGTCCTATGGTCCCGGTCACTGGCTACCTCTCTTGGTTGGAAAGCGTGCCACTATGAATAGCACCAACTCTCGAGTCTCAGATCGACCCTGGGTACCCTGGGAACCCATGATAGACTGTGACAACCACCCCTAGACGACTTTCCAAACCGCAGCCATGCCCCTGGCTTCCCCTTGGTAGGTTGACCAGTTGACCTCCCTTGTAGTCTATTCTGTTCATTTTGGGTGGTCAACTGATCAACCAGTCGGTCTTCCGGTGTTGACCCAGATCCACCTGTTCAAGACAGGTAGGTCGAACCAACCTCCTGGCAAGTATCGAGAATCGAACCGAACCGACACTGGCGGCGTTCGACACTGCCCCACTCTTGCTGGTTCTTTCTGGTGTGGACACTCGGCCATGGCGACCCTCTGGTTCTTTCGTGTATCCCAGGAGGTGGCCAGGAAAAAGAAACCATGGTTCTAACCTCCCAATATTCTTGGTTCTACCGACCTCCATATTCTCCTGGTTTTCCTGGTTCTAACCTGAAAAAGAATCCTTAAAAAAGGGCGCTCGTGTTTCATCGACATGACGTCCTGCCGCAGAAGAAGCCGCCGAAGCGCGGGAGATGCCAGGGCCATGTTCGCATCCACGGACGTTGGCGCGTGAGTCAGGACAAGCGGTCGACAGGACGAGAGGACCAGCGAGACAGGCGAGTTTCATGGGGTGTAAGTATAACAACCTACAAGCCATCGTCTGGCCGCTTGGAAGCTCGTTAAAGGCTCATGTTCAGTGGCCCGTGACTGGGCATCTGATCAGACGCTCGAGGCTTTTCCAGGGAAATTCCAGTTCATGATGTGAGTCTGGGATATGTCCCATATTCGAGTGTTGACTCGACTCTGTAAGTGGTCAAAGTTAAAAACCAAAGCTGGAGGTCGTGGGGTGGATGTACTTCGGAACTGGAACGTGGTGCGCCCCAGCATGTGACAGATAGATCATATGGCAAGGCTGCTGGTGTGTCTGCAGGCGAAGCCAAATCTCTGGTAATGCTGTCGTGTAGTCTCAGCCAAAGGACATGTTTGAAGAGCCAACCACCATTGATCTTTGGCTGAGCATGCTCTAAACCGGTTATTGATCATGTCATGAAGAGCCAAATGTAATGATCTTTGTTGATTTGGTCGGCATGGCTTGCTGAGCATGCAGGCTGCTTGCGGACAGTCAAGCCAACCCGTCGCGTGAGTCCATCCCTTTTTGGTCACCACTCTTGCAACACCAAAAGCTGACTTGTGGGGATTGGCTGATCAGCTCGGATCTTTGGAACCTCTTCGGTGCGAGGAATTTCAGGGTCAGGTGCAGGAAGGCCGGACCAAATACATTCAATCTACGACACTCTCCCTAGACTTCCAAGACCCTTAAAACCATGGTTGACCCGGTTTTGTGGAGGAAAATCCTTAAGTCGGTTCGGGATTCGGTCCATTACATGATAAGCCGGTTTTGGAAGCCAAAGGGGCTTTGGGAACGAACTCAAAGCCCATGATGGGCTTTGAATGATTCACCACTCTCGGATTGGGTGTGCCAAATGGTGCTAAACTTGGTGTGAACGGTGGGCTCTCAGCCCACCGATGTCTGATTGCCCCAGGCCCCAGGCCGCTACGCAAGAAGAGAGCTATCCTCATAGCTCGTAGCAAGCCTCTTAGGTGGGTTTGTTGGCTCTTCCTATCATTGACATGCAAAAGTGCCAAGTCCAAGTCCTGAACTAAAGACCTGGCAGACTGGTATAGATGAGGCTTTGGGGGGATCTTTATTTGGATCCGCTGTGTCCTGCGAATTGCGTCTCTTCGGCGTCTCTCAAAGTTGGGGATGAGAGCAGTAAGTAAGCAACCCCCAACAAAGGGAATGGGTTAGTATACATTGTTTGTTAAGTACATAATGTACATATGGGAATCTACACTGCTGGCATGAATTCTGCATGATCATGTATCACTCCAAAAGGTAGCAAGATTCCCGAATTTCCGATGCTCTGGTCTGTCTGAAGGCATGGTTCATGTCTCAAGAATCCCTACCTCCTTTTCAGCTGTCACAATTACCAGTGAACTACCCAACCAGGAGGCCGGTCCTACCTGGAAGGAAGCCTGTACCATGCTGTACCTGGTCCCCTTCTCTGCGACCCAACAACAACAGCTCTCCGAGCAGCGGAGCTGAGCTCCTTCCAAACGCACGAAGCGAGTCGCTGACATCGAAGTGGATGGGCACCCCCTTGGTAAGTCTGTCGTCCTTTCGGTGTCATGTCTAACTTCGCCATGTGTTTCCCCTCAAACAAACGAGACAGCTCACCGTTTCAAGGTGACCATTCATCCTGGATTTGACCCCAAAACCCCCACGAATCTCCCAAAAAGGGGCACCCCAAAACCCCCTGCTTCACTTCTCCACGTGGGTCACGCCGCAACTTCTGGCTCCCGGACGAAGCGATCGGCCTCGCGGGCGTCCGCCTGGGATCGCACGAGTAGGGAAGGGAAAGGCCGACCTTTGGACTCCCAAGGAAAAGGATCAGTGAAGTATATGGCTAAGTTAGTTAGTGGTGCCTGGGTTAGTTAGCTAGTTATAGTTAGTGGCCGGGTCGTATTTGTGGATGTATATGGCTCCAGGCGTTCGTTTTTCGCCGCTGACCAGTGAGACCGTGCGGGGTGAGGTCGGAAGTGTGGCTTTCGTCTCAGACAGCCCAAGTAGCCCAAGTCGGGTGATCCAAGAGCCAGGTGACACATGGGGATGTTGGAGTAATGGTGTCACCAAAGGCGCTTCCAAGCAGTGTCTGGTGACCTATAAGCAGTGTGGGGTTGTCCATTGGTAACCCCGAACGGAAGCAGCTGGTCTATGATAATCTACCAGCTTCTTCAAAGTGACCTTTTGAAGGTTCCTAAGTGACCCTTAGGAAGCTTAAGTGACCTCAAACCAGGTTATCAAAAGGTCGCTTTGAAGAGCCAGGTATGTTGATATTACATATACATACCAGGACCGAAAACCGCTCGCCTGGTGGTTGGACAATTAGTGTTCCTCACCTCTGGTCGAGGTGGACATAGACACCTCGAACGGAGGGTCCTGGTATAGTCTATGGCGTTTGTCTTCGGAACCAGCCAGCGACATCGTGGTAGCCATCCTCTGGGTACCTTCAGCTTAGGGTGTCCGGATCTCACAAAGCAAAATAGGGCCGAAACGATCCTGCACTACTTGGCGCGCCAAAGAAGAGGGAGGTCTTGCATCTCAGCTTGTCTGACAATGTCTGACATCATCTCAGATGTCAGATGGGGTAGTGTAAAAAAGAAACGTATCAATTGCACTGTCCCGAAGTCACGTTATCCTTTTTTGCTCTTATCGTTTTCTCAGGCGGTGGGCTCTCTGTACTAGAAATGTGAATGTGTCAGCTTTCTGTGGTTATGAAAGCATCCTCGTTCGAAGGTCAACAAACGTCAATGTCCTTTCATTTTGCTTTCATGTCCTTTCATGTTCCTTTCATGTTGCATTCATGTCCTTTCATGCTCCTTTCATGTTGCATTCATGTCCTTTCATGTTCCTGTCATGTTGCATTCATGTCCCTTCATGTTACTTTCGTGTTGCATTAATGTCCTTTCATGTTACTTTCGTGTTGCATTCAGTTCCTTTCAATTTCCTTCAAAAGGTGATGTGCTCAAAGCGGTCATGTCGGTATCCTCCCAAGCGCTTGCATGTTTTCAATATGTATTTATCGTGTTTTGATGTTTTTTGTTATTGTTTTGTTATCGTTTTGGAGGCCTGTGCAGGTTGCCATCTTGAAGGTTCATGAACGCGTACATGTATAAGCTCGTGGGTCAGCGTAATGTTAAGGGGCAGGCCAATGGCCTGCCCCTACTAAAATGCCAGGCGCAGAAGTGTTACACGAAGGCCCAGATGTCTTGTTCCAGGAGTGCCGAGTGTTCTCGGTTGGACCCCCTGCCACCTTCCCCGTTTCAACCGCACCACGTGGGCGGGTTCCGCTCGCTTCATGGAACAGAACGCGCCTCGTTCCGAAGGAGTCGGAGAATCTCCTCGCTCCGATGCGGCGGTTTCAGCCGCAGCTGGGAAGAGACATGGGGAGACCTATACAACCCAAGGTGCGAGATGTTCATCCAAATCATCTACCACCGAGTTTTTGCTTCACATCTCACTGTATTAGAACCCCCAAACCCGCCAGGCACTACCAGGCATTGCCAGGTCACGTGACGGACCTCAACGAATCACGAAACAAGACCTGGCAACGACGACCGGGTGGTCTCTAGACGTCCAGTGACCGTGTGGAATATTGCGGGATGCGTTCCGATGGCTCAGACATTGGATGTGCAGGACATGTGGTTCCAAAGACTCCTTCCACGGTCCACGACTGTCCGGACTTGAACAAAGCCAATGAGCAGCACGTGGTTGGCCACTGGCTTGTCCTTTTAGACGTCCATCGAATCCATCGGGTTTCGGGTTCCAGCAGCACCACGATCTCGGTCGGTCGGTCGCATCTCTCAACTCGAAGGGCGTCACAACAACACTGCATGGCATGGCGAACCGAAGGGGTTGGCTCGTTCGAGCCGAAGGGAGTTGACCTGTCGAGGAACGAATGGTCCGGATCCGAAGAGAAGAGTGGCTCGTGTGGTTCTTGGGATCCGTCCCTCAGATCTCAAGAGCCGAAAAGAAGAGCTCGAGCCGAGCGGATGGGCGACATGGACGAAGCTGGCAAACAACCACAGTTTGACCAAAGAACGTGTTGTGAAGAGCAACACCCCCTGTAGTCTTCTGAGATCATAAAAAACATATGTTGACCATGTTTGACCTGGTTTTGTAGTGTCAAATCCTTATGTAAACAATGGTTGTTGGGTAGAGGATTATTGAATCAATGGTAATGGTGCTCAGTCAAAGTCCTTGGCACCTGGTGTTTTTTCCCCTGCATCGATGAGCCCCTGGTCCAGGGCCAGACTGGCCGAGAAGACTCGAGAGTTGCCGCGGCTTCCGCGGCTTCGTGCCCCCGCCGCGGCTTCCGGGGGCGCGGCACGCGGCGGAATGCGAGCACGCTCCTTGAAGAGACCTGATGTCTTGGGCTCCGCCTCCTTGAGACACAGCTGGGCCAAGCCTGGAGTCGACAGATGCGACGTGGGGGTGAAGGAGCTGGTGCTTTGGAGAAGAGAGATGGTTTGGGAAAGAGTTGGGCGACTTCAAGAGTGGACTTCACAGGTTTAAGGAGGCCCCTAGAGGAGCAGAAAGGAACATAAAGCCTTTTACGTTTTGGGAATTTGCTCCTGAAATTGAGTGGTTTTGCTGAATACTGCTAAACCAGCAGACAAGAGCCTCTGGGCGCTTGGTAGTGTTCAAAGCTTCTGTTAGGACCGCATGTCACCAGTGCATGTCACCTTGTTTCTGAAGGCTCTTCGGCTGCCGTCTCCCACATTTGTGGAGACACTCGGTCTCGGAGTGAAACGGACCAATTGGGACACCGAGTTCACACTCAGCACCACTGTGGTTCATTCGGCTCGTCCTCTTCGGCCCCTTGCTGTGGGGGGGACGTCAGTGCTGGCACCATCCTGAGTCTCCAAAAGCCGGCGGTGCAAGTGGTCTGACTGCGTGAGGACTGCTGAAGGGTTTTGGATGGTTTTGGGAGGAGGAGTTCGTGAAACCAAGAGCCGCTCGCATCCGCTCGCCATGTTGCTGCTGAAAACATCCCAGAAATGGCCGCCCACATTCTCAGTTTGTCACAGTCAAGACGTCTTTCTTAGTTGTGTCAAAGACGTTGCAGCAGTTTCAGCCAACACATGTGAACAGATTCAGTCATAGTTAGTAGGCGTGCTTCTAACCAACACACGGTGGCGAGCCGCATTCGAAGAATATGGAGAATGAAAAAAAGGCTCCAGAACTGAAATTCAACCCCCAGAACTTCTTTTACTGTAATGAACATGTTCCTGGACCTGGAAAAGGGATGTCCTGTCAGTCCCTTAGTCGTGGGCTGGGGCGAAACCAGCCAGGTGACCCCTTTGAAGGTTGTATATGTTTGTAGACGAGCATGGGATTTTGAGGTGTTCCGACGTGTTCCGCTACGTCTGATCCATGTTCCGCGACATCTTCAAAAGAACAAACATTTAATGGTTCTTCTTGATCAGCCCGCAAATGGGAGAACCACTGCAAATCCTCACTCGAAATTGGACTACTTCGATGCTGAGAAAACCAACCTCGGTTTCCAATGTGTGAAGCTTTCACCCTTTTTTCCACAAGACCGAAAGGCCTCGTCCTCGAGGCCTCGATCAAAACCAAACGCCTACGTTGAGTGAGACGGCTTCTTGCCGTGAGTTCAGACTGAGGTCGAGGTTTGCTTGGCGGATCAATTCCGGAGCTTGGGGAACTCCAAGACACCCCAGCTTGGCCTCTCCCCAACCAGCCGAATCGGCCACCGACGTCGCTGTTCGGCGCTGTTCGGCGTCGGGTCGGTGGAGCCCCAAGGGTCGAAGTCGCCCTCGCCGTAGAAGAGCGGATCGCCCAGATCCACCTCGGGCATCAAGCAGCTGATGACCTCGCAGAGGTGGAAGATGGAGTCGGTTGGGCTCTAGCGATACCCAAACACAATGGTCCTGGTATGTCCTGGTGGTCAATGGCATGTGCATGATTGCGGCAGGCGTGGTGGCAATAGGTGAATAGCGCAAGATCCAAAGATGTTGTTGAAGCTTGCCAAAGCAAGTAACACCAACAGCATCCCAAAAAATACAGCCAAATTGGAAGCTCCACGACGCCAAACGGAATGCTGAGACTTGCATCTCACGTATGATGCATTCATTCAAAACGACCTGCAGACTCGGATGTTTCGTGCCATCGACCTATCACATCTTCCAAACCAACCCCCCCCTTAGGACGGTCTCCGGATCTCGAGAAGCAAGCTCGGCCGTTGGGTGTTTTTTCATCGGCCAGGGACGAGGTCCATGTTAGACATGATTGGACCTCTGGTTAGCTTGGGCACGGAATCGGTCTCTTTTTTCTTCCTTTCGCAGGGTGAGGCAGGACTAGCAAGTACACAAACGACTTCTGATTCAACTCCCTCATTGCCCACGGACCCAGATCTCGTGACCAGAGACCTGGGGGGGAAATTCAACGAGAAATCTCTCGATGAACCAATAATTACCTGAGCACCTTCAGCCTGACACCCCCACTTCTTTCCTAGCTCCAAAGATCTGCAAACAAACGATCAAAACACTTGACCAGCCACCAGAGAACACAGAGAACTTAATTGGATGCAACACCAACATCACCTACCACCAGGCACAACTCCGCTTTTCTTCCCCACCTCGCCTCGTCGGGGTCCTCCTCCGCGCTTAGGGTGAAGATGATCTTTCGTTGCCCCCGGAAGAGCACAGTGAACCTGCGAAGCCAACGGTGGGAGGTTGTCAGGATCTGGACGTAGAGACGTATCTATGACGGGTGAGGGGACTATTCAAAAGAAGGGATTCAAAGCATACTGAGACGACGTAGATATGAAAGCGCCGTGGGGGCAGGGGGTCCCATCGTGTTTGAGACGTTTTGGCTGCATGGCTAAAGGACAAAAAACATCTAGCTTGGCTTGGCCAGGGAGAAAACAAATCCCTTACCTGTTGAGGCACAAAGGCTGTGCATGTGCGCCATTGAGGAAATCGAGCGTATACTTCCCAGCGGTGAGATCAGTGCTTGACGAAATACAAGATACGAGGGACGCCATCAAAACAAAAAAGAATCAAATCAAACAACAGGAAGTGGTTCTTCTACCCCATGACCATCCCAAAATCCATGACATTCCACCGAACTGAAACGCCACCCATCGCCTGTGGTGCTCCACCTCCGCGTTCTTCCTCGCCAAACGGCGTGCCTCCGCCGACCTGAAGGCACCGGCCGGAGACGTCGATCCCTCTCCGGCCGATCTCGAACTTGGAGAGGGATTCGCCGAAGCAAACCATTCCAGTCCATGGAAATCCGAACAGAAATGAGACTGCTGATGGACGGTCCATGGAAGGCAGAAACCCCCACGTCGTCCACTGAGTCTGTATGGATCGAATGTGAGGAGATCGAATTCATGGAAGCGCCCCTGAGCGGCGCCGAAATCTGAAGCGAAAGAGCTTTCGATGGCGTGATCCAAATGCTTGGTGATCCAAATAGATCCAAATGGCGTGTTGTGGGTGGCAAAAAGGGTGTCTATGAGCAAACCTAGCGAACCTGGCCTGAAATGTCGTGGTGTGGTCGTCGAGACATGTGTTGAAATGACCAGGTTGTTCTCTCATTCCACTGTCACTGCTACGTGGCTGCTTCACCTGGCCACCCCATCATATCATGGCTTTTGGGGCTTTTGGGCATCGAAAAACCGCTGCATCGTCCACCGCGCCGGGATCACCGGTGCGCTCCGGGCTCAGACCATGGGAGGATCCGAAGCGGAACGTCCCGCGGTCGCGCGAAGGGAGCTGGAAAAGCTTTTGTTCCCGTGCAGTTGAGTAGGAATTAGGAGGATGTTCGACCCCGAATCCGCAAAGGTCCGGAGCCCGAACGCCTGTGTTAGACGTCGAAAGGATCGGAACGCGGCGATGTGGCACGAAGAACGGAGCGTCGGTCTGGGTGGTTGGAAGAACCGTCTGACGACCCGGATGAGTCACGAACCGCCAAGTCACTCCACGGTCCACGTCCCGTAGATCACGATCCTCAGATGGTGAAATCACTTCCCGACACGACTGGGACTGGCATATTATATTGAACAGCACTGCAGGTCCACCACTCCAAGGTGTCTGGGAGTCTGGCACATGGTTATGCCCCCAAAAAAAGGAAGCAGCACTGTGGCGTTGGACCGGACGGCCATCCCATTCTCTGCCCGACGTCTCAGGGGTTGGACCCGAGCTCTGGGCGTCCCGAAGCAAAGCCTGTTTTGTTGCTTCTCGGGCCCGGATTCTTAGGGTAGAATCAAAGATTTAATGATTTACCAGACTCTCTCTTTTATCAGACTCTCTTTTATGATTTAATGATTCTTAGGGTAATGATTTACTCATCTTTTACCAGACTGCCAGACTCTACGCAATGCGCCTTGAAATTCACTTCCTATACCCGCAATTGGTCATTGCCAGAAGCCCAGGTCTGTCAGAAAAGTGGCAAGTAGAACCATTGACACATGGCCGTGGCTCAGGAATCAGCCTCCCAACACCCACCCTGGTGCAAAGCGAAATTCCAAACCTATGGAACGGGTCAAACCTGTTTTAGATGTTGACACGACAAGATGTTGTCTATATGGACCCCCATCTTTTCAGGACATCATGGGGTCTGTGTCATCTGCTCTGAAATCACACGGTAACCTCACGTGATCACTGTTGCAGTTGCCATCCCCCCAGATCGCCCGCCCGTGCAGCACCAACTGCACGAGCCCAATCGCCCAGGTACATGTTCACGATCCACATCAAGCCCAAGAAAATTCCCAGGATCGAAGCGCCAATCGCCTCACCGAACGGCGCAGCGCGATGGCGGGCGCAGCGGGCGCAGTGCCAGCGGTTTGGGTCCTTCTTAGGTTAGGAAGATCTCAGCGATGCATCCAAAAGAGGTGCGTTCGTTCTAGGTCATGAAACACTTCACTCCCACGAAAAAAATGAAGAATTGCTAGGGAGCTCTCAACCTAGAATAGAAGTGCAGTGTGTGGCTTTGACCCACATCCCTTTTGATCAAATAGCCGCGCCAGTTGTCGAAAGAATGACCGTGTCTGACAGTCCACCCGGGAAGGATTCAGATGCATATTTAATCTTCGGAGGGACCGAGGGAAAGGCGAATCCAAGTGCCATGCCCACCAGGGTTGACATAAGGCACTCAGCTTCTTGCTGTGTTGAAGTCAGGGTGGTCTAGCCTCACTCTATTCTCTATTCCTTCATTCCATCAAGACAAAAGAATTGAACACATCCTCCCCGACTCACTGAGCAATCAGAGACTCCGGTCTACCTTCAGATCGAGCAGAGTCTAAAACGGCCTCCCCCTATTCTTTTGAATGTCTTCTCCGACTTCAACATCCCGCAATATGTCCAAGGCACACCCACCAGCAGTGGCAAATGTGCGCCACTCACTTCTTGATCACTGCCCAGTGCCCGGCAAAGCGGCTGCTGCACACTCGCGCACAAAGTGCCCATCTGCCCGACGTGGCTTTATGTTCGGCACGATAGGGCGGAGTTCTTTCCTTTTAGATGTTAGACCACCAGCCATCGAAAATATTACTTTTTCATACTTTTTCCCATCAAAAGGGTGGTCAAATGAGTGCTGTTTTGGCGAAAAGAAGACAGGACTTAAACTCTACAGGTCACCAATGGTTCGGCCTAGGGCCTAGGCATGCTTCCCAACAGCCGAGACCTGGCAGAAAAAGGGTCATGTAGACTGTTGATGAAGAAACCGACATGGATTGTAGTAAAGCCTCTTCAGGCTGGGGGGCAGTGAAATATAAACCCCTATGGAACTATGGATCCACTGCCTGCTCAGGTTCGGTGTGACTGGGCCCCACCCTGGCGCCTACATTACAAAATCGTCTCCTTCCTCACCGTACCGACCTGGTTCGGTACGTGAATCCATCGGGATCAACGGGAAGACAGTACCAGGCTTCGTCGGCTTCGTCGTTCCGAGAAAGGTTGCGACCGTGGGAGGTTCGAACCGAGGTTCTCCCTGCCTTGCTCACCGCAGGGGTGCAGCTCATGTCCATGAGACCACTACCTCAGGTGAGCGCGGCTCGAGCCATGCCCTGGTCCCGTCCGCCCGTTTGGCACGCTGGAATCGTCGCTCCACTCGCTCGCGGACGGTGACCGGTGGATGGCTCGACCCAACTGGCTCTCCACCCACCCCGTCGACCTGAACCGATGCCAACCTCGTGGGCCACGAGGTGGGCCAGGAGGGCACCATACGGCCCGGTGCGACGCGGCTTCCGCGCCACGACGATGCGGATGTGACGACGAGGTCACAGGCCCGCGGGAGCGACGATGGTCGAGTGGGCGAGGAGATGTCGGGCAGCCATGGCGAGGCAGCTCAGCAAGGCAGCTTCGAAGTGAGCTTAGTGAGGGCTTTAGATAGAGGGAAGTTGGACATGGCAAGGACAACTTGATCAAGAACTGGTCGAAGTTTGATGGTGAAGAAAAGCACTCGAAAAACATCGAAAAGCGTGGCTTTTTAAGGTGACTGTTTGTTCTCCTCGCTCCTGGTGGCAAAGTCCGTGGTTGTATGGTTGTCGGTCACATCACCCCGCCCTTTTTTGGTGAAGAAATGCAAGCCTACCAGACCACTCAGGATCTTCTAGTGGCCCATGACCAAAGACATCGTCCGGAGACCACGTTTCGTTTCACGGACCAATCACCCGTTTCGCCAGAGATTGATTTTTGGAAAGAATACAGTCAATAGAGGTTATCTGCATGATTTTTTCATATTCCCTAGGGCTCCAACTACCCGTTTCGAAGGCGGTTGGGGTGGGTGCCAGGGGGGATCTAACTTACCTTCTATAAGGATATTATAGTTGGAGCCCTACAGATTTGGTGGGGA